AATTCAAAAGTTCTGGTCTTCACATTGTCATGAGGACAAAACAAGATAAATGATGTTTTCTCTCTCTTATGCTCTGGTTTTTTAACCTATTGAAAAGGTTCTCAAACCAAGAATTTGCTGACAGTGGTCAAAGGGCAACCTTCTTCATAAAGACCCTGAACATAGCTCCATTGCACAGCCTGTTGAGTGTTCTCTGTCAAGGCATTTCTCACTTTACCTACAGGTCTTAACTTTGCTAGCATGGCCAGCTCCTTGTGAAAAAGGAAAGAATCTGACCCTGTATAACTGATAACTTTTTATGACTGTATCACTTTCTGAAATCATAGACAGACCAAACATATACAGAGACAGTTCATTAAGAATGCTCGTCTAGTTTTGTTTTCTGTTGTTTTGACAAAATACTAATATAAATTTTAGTTATTATTTCATTTTATGTTTCACAGATCACAACCCACTGGGAAGGCAAGTCAGGGCAGAAATTCAAGACTTAAACCTGTTGTCAGAAATAAAAGCAGAAAATATTTATTGACTTGCATCCAGGCTCATGTTCAACTACCTTTCTTTAAAACCTGTGGCTCCCTGCCTAGGGATGCTACTGCTCACAGTGGGCTTAGACCTCCTTTGTCAATCAGCAGTCAAGAAACATCCCAGAGACATGCTTACAGGCCATCAAATAGAGGCAATTCTTCAACTGAGTTTTCCTCTTCCTAGATGTGTCAAGTTGACAACTAAAGCTAATAATGACAAATGCCTTCAGAGGTGTGTTGTCCTTATATAAAAAGTCTCTGCTCATTCCTGAAAAATTCTTTACTGTTCTTAGGATTTTAAATCTTGGTCAAAGTTAGAGGACATGCTTGATGGTTTTGATACATGGGGCACATTTTACAATTCACACACCTAGTAACTGGCCAAGACTTGCTGACCCTGCATGTTGCTACTCTTAGAAATGCAGTCACTGCTTTCATAATTTAGGATATTTCAGTTAAAGGAAGAAATGTCTTGACACTTCAAAGTTCATTCATAAGCACAGTATAAATGCTAGAGACTGGACATTCATGTGCAATATGAGATGACTCAGCTCCTCCAAGGACCCCCAGGTATTAATCCAAAATGCAAAAAGAACTGCCATAACTGTTCCTGTTTCCTTTCTTACTGATGAGAATCTGACTAGAAGGACTTCCCTGAAAACCTGGCTTTCTAACTCATTTATCTTTCAGTCATGGACCCCATTAAGCATCTTTCATTCTGAACTCCACTTTTTTGTCTATTTCTCAAAGTAACTAAGTGATCCTCATCTTCTGCTCACCACCAAAGGTATTTAATTTGTGTAATGGTTCATCTTGGTTTTCAACTTGACTTCCTCTAGCATCAACTCACAGACAGGCATACCAGTGACAAACTTTTCGTCAGACATTTAATTGGCTTGGAAGAGACACACTGAGTGTGGGCAGAACTATCCAGTGGCAGCCCAAATAAATAGAAGTCAGAAAAAGAGAATCTTTGTTTTATCCCCTTGTTTGCCTTAATGTATGTAACTAAACTCATCAACCCTCTTGTCATCATGCTACTGCCACAACAGTTGTGGTCATTCCTCATTGCATCTGAACTTATCTTCATTCAATATGGACCTGAGACCAGTAGCTTTCCAGGAATCCTGTGGGCCTTCAAAGACAGATGGAACATCTGCGCACATGGCAATGTGGACTGAGCAGCTACAGGTCTTCACGCTTTCCAGCAGAACAGCGGGGATTGGCTGGTGCCTGACTGTCTACTTTAAGCCAATCTAATAAATCCCACTTGAATGCACATAGTCATTCTAATGTTTCTGGTGCTCTAAGAACACTGGCACAATTTCTACAGGCTGATAAAAATAAAACTGCAAATTTTCTCTAATGTTTAGTTTTCCATTTCGATCTGATTCTAAATATCCTCTCTCAACTCTCTCAATATCTTTTATCAGTTTATTTTTTAAAAGAGAGAGAAAAAGTTTTATAGAAACAATAAGAATTAGATTTTCTGGAAATAACAACCATTTTTTTTCCTTTTATGTGAACATACTCAAGTGTTATAATGCAAGAATTTACAGAGCAATGTGCTAATTTCATTTAGAAGCCACTTCTCCAAGATGATAAGATACTATTTATAACAAGCTTACTTAGCCTGGGAGTGGTGGTGCTACTTGGGGATACCAGCACTTGGGGATTAAAGGGTAGGCAGTGCTCAGTGAGTTCAAGGCCAGAGTGGTCTACAAAGCTACAAAGAAAAAACCTCTCTTGAAAAACAAAAAATAAAACAAAACAAAACAAACAAACAAAAAGGCCCAGGAAGGATTGTGTATTATTAAAGCCGTAATCGATATACTTTACTAGTACATTGCTGTTTTAAGAATAAAATTTGAATTCACTCTTTATTGATTATTAAATTTTGAGTCTACTTTTAATTTCATTGTAATTTCTTTAGCTAAACTGTCACCGTCATCTACCAAATATTTATTTAGCAACTACTATGTGACTTGCTCAAGTATCATTTCTCTGATACTTGGAGCATTATCCAAAGTAGCACCAGAATTAATTTGGTAAAATACATATCAGACAATTTTATACCAGTCATACTACAAACAATAAAGTTTAAATGGATGTGTTGATATGGATCCCTATTACACTGGCTAAAGTATGAATATAGATGAGTTCATTTAATTAGGCAAAAGGCAATACACACTCATGAAACTTCTGCAGTAGTAGGGAGCTTCAGCTATCTACATCACATAACAGTTTGTTCTTCAGATATAAATTATTTAAAAGACATCACCATGCTTACTATATTTACACTGAAAAAAAAACTGTCCTCTGAAATAGATTGTGAGACAGTTACAAGCTGAGACTAGCCTTTGTAATTTTTTTCTCCCTATGTTTAATTCAGTGGCTGCACATAGAGAATACTCAATGGAAATTCTTGGCTTAATATCTTTATTATGCTAGAACTGGTGAAAAATGGAAGCCCTTCTGATAAAACTATACCCTATCAAAAGTGAGGTTCAAGATACATAGTTATAGTGGTGGCTCATGCCTGTAATTCTAGGACTTGGGAAGTGAGCACAAGAAGAGTAGAAGTTCAAGGCCTGCATCTAAAGCTTATTTTCTTAGCAATGAGCCTGGGCTATGTCAGACAAGGAAACAAAAGGGAAAATGAAAAAAAGAAAGGAAGAGAAGGTAGGAAGGAATGAGTTTATAAAGGAAGGAGGAAAAGACAGAAATATTGATGGATGGAGGAAAGAATTCAAAGAAATATAACATTCTCAAAATTGACTATGAAATCAGAGGCCTGCATGTGATTTGTATCTTCTCCCAATTCTACCACTAGACCTTTGATAGGAAATTGTAGGGAATAGCTAGACTTCCCTTCTCTTTAAATGATGACTTACTCTGCTGTATCCAGGGTATCTAAGAGTTAAAATGAGATAAATATTACAACAGATTCCTTCTGCACTGGAGAAAAATCATCTAACCATAGCCTTAATTTAATGCATTTCACAAGTGTCTTCCTGTTTCCAAATTTCTGTTTACTCCTGTAGCTGTGACCTATATATGTATAAATGTACTTCTTACTTTTAAAGGCATGATTTTTCTCTTTAAATTTATTTTGAAAACCACAAAGAAAAATTCAAAATTTAATTTGATTAATGACTAACCTAATGACAAGTTATGGAATTTCTCTTAATAGTGGTGAAAATGTATGAACCAAAGAAAAAATACGCAGGTAGGTCAACTGTCTGATTGGTAAAGGAAAGACAGGAACTACAGGATAGAGAAGACAAATAATTTCAGTAGAAAGTGCTTTTATTAGCAAGTGCTCTTAATAACAACACTGAAATCAATAAAATATAATAATGTTATGTGTGCTGTAATAAAAACACCATATTTAATATGGCCCATCAAAGCAAATTTAATCTTATACTATGTTAATGTATTTAGTGACAAATATCTTCAGTTATAAAATGTATTGTTATTATGAGAATCTTTTTTGGGGGGACAAAGTTTAGACAGGGTTTCTCTGTATTGCTTTGGATCCTCTCCTAGAACTAGCTCTTTTAGACGAGGCTGGTTTTGAACTCATAGAGATATACCTGGTTCTGCCTCCTGAGTGCTGAAATTAAAGGATGTGCCACCCTTTCTATATCATCCTTTTTTAAGAGAAATCGGTGTCTATGTGTGTGTATAATGTTTCTTTCTTTTTTATTTTTTCTTGTTGTTGTTGTTATTGTTGGGTGTATTTGTTTTTATTTTTCAAGACAGGGTTTCTCTATGTAGCCCTGGCTCTTCTGGAACTCACTCTGTAGCCCAGGTTGGCCTTGAACTCAGAGATCCTCCTAGCTCTGCCTCCTGAATGCTGGGATTAAAGGTGTGCACCCCACTACCAAGCTTGTTTCTTTCTACACTTTTATATTTGCCAAATCATAACTGGTAATATTAGCGGTGTATGACTTGGGTCAAATAAATATCTTTATGAGAGCTAAAATACTGAGATATCAGCAATGGACTACTCTCCTCAATGTAATGATAGAGACATAATAATGTGATGAATGGTCACTGTACAATGAATAATACCACATGAGTGGTGTTGGGTCCAACCTCACTTTATAGATGGACAAATTAAAACCTAGAAAGTGACTTGTCACTTAACATACAGCCAATAAGTTACTGAATCTATACTTAAATATGACATTGTACTCCCCTGCTTTAATCACCATTCTTTTCTTTACTCTAGTATGGGAAATTGCATTAGACCATCTGCTGAAATGGTGATAGTCAACCCAAGTTTTATAATTCATTTTAATCAGTATCAATGATTGCAGAGCTAACCATGTCCCTCACAGTGTGCAGTCAAATATTATTGGTATAGTCAGTGAAATATTTAGGCAGAACATTTCATAAACCAGATCCTAATAACTGTTTCCCTGAAGCAAAACATGTTAAATAGAATTTAAAATTTAAGCCACAAACCTGTTTCAGGCTCAATGGAAAAATACGGCTGTCCTTCCAAGATACTGTAAACCAACTTTGCACTGTTTCCATAAACTGGGTCATCAGCATCCGTGGCTGTTACATTAGTGACAGATGTACCTAATTAAAAAAAAGTAAAGTGGTAAGAATTCACACATTATTTTTGCCAAGTGCTAAATTTTGTCAAGTATATCATATATTAAACCTATAGGAGATAAATATAGATAGATAGATAAATAGATAGACAGAGAGATGGATTGATTGATAGAGATACATCAATATGCATCCTTTAAAGGATAAAGGTAAGCAGCTTAGTCAGAACTTCAACAACTGGCAAGTCTTTTGTAAGAAACAGTACTTTGAGGTTGGAATAACAGATTACAACAGCACTTTTAGTCTCTATTATTTAAGATGTCTTGTAGTTTTCATTTTAAGGGTATCTGTTAGATTTGTGTGGGTTTAAAGAATATGCAAAGGAGTCATATCAAAGAAATATGAAACAAAAGTTTAATAATAAAATACAGCATGTAGTACTCAAGTTTTGCCAAAGTACAACTGAATGTACTTTGAAACACTGACTACTTTTAAAAGAAGCACATAAATATCAAAGGAATATTTTATTCCATCACATTTAATTTCTCAAAAAATAAAATGAGATAGGAACCACCAATTAATCAGTAAGCTCAGGTAATTAGACCCATGGATAACAGTATGGAACCCTCTTTGCACATTAATCTTCTGTGTTTTATAACAACTGCACACATAGAGCTTGTCTGAATGGCAGTATATAAGCTAATAAAAAAAATACATGTACTAAAGAAGCTTAAAGTGGGAAGAAAGAAAGGAAACAGATAAATTGACTCAGCTACTCAGGTGAATAAAAATAATTCTGCAAGCATTTGCCCTCTTTTGGTCTAGGAAAAAACAGAATAGCCCTGGACATGTTTCAAAGACAGATTACACTGAAACTAAATATTAAAGAAATTTCAAGTTTCTCACAGACAAATGAATATAAAATATCTTAAGAAATTTCTCAATCATAAATAAAGACAAAGATGATCATGTGGTCTTATGACTTCAGAAACAGTGGAGAACACAGGGGTCTGGTGTGATTAGAATTATAGTAGATGAGGACAGGCCAATGTTGTTTTCCTAAATATAAAGTCATACATATAGTTGTTATTTAATGTATGTTTATCAATTAAGTGGCTAAATGAAATAATATGTTACCTCATGATTTATTAAATGCCCTCCCTTGTTAAAGAGATTGATGACTATACGTCATCATATAGCCTTCATCAAGTAGCTGGTGGAAGTAGAAGCGGACACACGCAACTAAACACTGAACTGAACTAGAATCCAGTTACAGAGAAGGAGGAGTGATGAGCAAAGGGGTCCAGACCAGGCTGGTGAAACGCACAAAAACAGCTGACCTGAACAAGGGAGAACCCTTGGTCCCCAGACTGACAGCTGGGAAACCAGCATGGGTCAGATCTAGACCCTGTGAACGTGGGTGTCAGTAAGGAGACCTCAGAAATCTATGGGGCCACTTGTAGCAGATCAGTACTTATCTCTAGCATAGGAATGGACTTTGGGAGACCATCCCATATAGAGGAATACTCCCTGAACCAAGACACACGGGCATGGGCCTTGGCCCTATCCCAAAGAATATGACAGACTCTGAAGACCCCCTATGAAAAGCCTCACCCTCCTTGGGGAGCATAAAGGGTATGGGGTTGGTAGAGTGTTAGTTGGTGGGGCAAGGGGAGGAGGACAGGGAGAGGGAACTGGGATTGACATGTAAAACAATCTTGTTTCTAATTCAAATAATAAATAAACTAAAAGAACTGGTAAAAAAGAAAAATAATAGTGTCACAGATCATTCATGGTAATCATGTTAATAAAAGATTACTTTCAGAACTTTTATTGGAGGTTGTCCTTTGTCAACCTTTGGAGGTAAATAAAGGAAATAAGACAAAGCCGAAGTATATATCCTACCATGAAACCACAACAAAGGCTATAGTAAATTATATGATGCTGTGAAGCAAGATATTGAGAACAGAAGCACTCATTGACAAATGGGGCCAGACATTCATATTGTAAGATTGAAGAAGTAGGAGATGAGATGGCCCATGAGAATGGAACTTTGGCATTGAGTCAGGCAGTGAGTTTAGCCAAGGGCAACTACAAAGCAGTGTCACAGATTATCAGCCTTCAGCTGTCAGTTGCTAATGTGTCCAGCATAGAGGGAAAGAGGATTTTAATCCTGAACAAGATAAAGGGTTCATCTGAGGAGTATATCTTGGTGGTGATTGAAACAGGATTGAGTTCTTGCAAGATCCTGTCAATCAAAGTGTGTTTGATATGCTTTCAATTGCAGTCACTGCTCAGGAAAATAATGTAATATTTGTTGTGTAGTTGATAGCTGTATAAAATTGAAATTTATACTCAGAATGCTGTCTTATAAGTTTTAAAGAATATAGAGCAATAGCATGCTTTGAATTTCACTTATATAACATATTCCACCATAAATTTGGAGCAATGCATTTTGGTGTGTGTGTGTGCGTGTGTGTGTGTGTGTGTGTGTGTGTGTGTGTGTGTGTGTGTATGTGTGTGTGTGTGTAAAGATTCACTATCCCAAGTGAAATATAAATGTTGCAGATGAAGATGAACACATAGAAGACCAATAGTGTCAATTATTTGAAAATTACATGAACTTGAGAACAGTTGAAGGGAAAGACTTCCAAGAGACAGAAAGATAGGGAGCTAGAAGTCCCAAAACAATTTTAGAAGAGATGACAGGAAATGTTTGCTAGCAAATGTAGAGCTAGAGATTCAAGCTAGGATCAAATTTAAGGGGAATTTGAGTGACAGAATATATATGCTCCATATAGGAAACAAGGAGGATCTTTTAAGCACAGATCATTCCTGATGTGGCCATTTCTGTTCTCAGTGCTGCCCAATTTCCTTGCAGGAAAAGAACTGATTAAGGGAACAGATCAGTTATGAAATTACATCAGTAATCCAATTAAGACCACTGGTGTATGATTATGTAAAATGGACACTCCTTATCAATTTCCTTACTTTTATCTGTGCACTAAGATCATAATCTGATGATTAACTGAGTGTGGGATAGTGACAGTTTGAAAGTGTTCCATTCTAAATTGAGGGATTAAGTGTAAATGATAATATCAAGAGAACAAATATTTTTATGGTGGTCAGACCATCAGGATCCTTCCTGGTGAGTCGGACTTGGTTCTGGTATAAAATGGCTAACTGAAGAACTTTGTCATGTTGGCTCTTTTATCTTCATCCAAGAGAGGACATAGTATTTTTACTGCCGGAAAGACAATATGAAGTTTCCAACCACAGAAAAACTCATTTCCAAGTATAAGAGAATTCATTTATATTTTTTGTAAAATTCTGTATTTTGTGAGAGTGCATAAAAATTTTAAGGAAGATACACATTAACTGTTATATAGTATGCAAAACTAATTCTAAAAAGGAGAAAAATGGATACAGTAAAGAAATGCCCCAAGATCCATTTAAAGGATTGACAGAAATCAAAATGAAGACAAGTGGGAAGGTCTGAAGAAAGACACAGGAGAATTTTGCTTTGCTTTGTTGTTCAGTGTGTCTACTTTGATTTTTTAGCAAGAGACATAGTTTTCCCATTATGAAGTAACAAACTGACATGAAATAGTATTCAAGTTTAATGCTCACTATGATACTGTAATAGTAAGTCCAGTCACTAATTTAGCATGGGGAAAGAGAGTGAATAATCAAATATTTTTCTAATATCTTCAAAATTATCTTATATCTCTTGTATTGACTCGTAAATTATCAGGTATATTGGTAGATAAATAAATATCTAAGTATTTTCTGAAGAATTATATCTTTGCATAGATCTATGGTATAGGATGAATCAGAGTACTGTGGAAGGTTTTGGACACAGTATGTTATAATACGTTCTGAAACATATTCCCATATCTTCAGGCAAGTCTTTTCACCTGACTCAGTCTCAGAATACAAACAGATTAGATAGATAGATAGATAGATAGATAGATAGATAGATAGATAGATAGATAGACAGATAAATGACAATAAGTAGGTAGGTAGATAGATAGACAGACATATAGGGGGCTAAGCAAAGTAATGCTTGTAGACAACTCAGAAATTATAACATGGTAAATCTAGAGGTATTATCTATGTCTCTAGTCTATCAGATTCAAAATATGGTTCGCAAAGTACCATCCAGAATGATATGATACAGACAGTGGTAGAATGTTTCTTTAAGTCTTCTCAGGCAATTGGATGTGAAGCCATGAATCAACATGTATGTTAGGACCAAACTTTTCACAACTGAACGTCACTCCATTTGTGTTGGCACCTTAATTTCTGTTATGAGTATTTTGAGAAGGAAAACTCATGTTCAGATTCGTTTTGTAAAACTTAGCTTATTTAAAACTATTCATCTGGGGAAATGAGACATGAAGACCATTTCTCATGGGAAGGAAAGTGAGAATATATCCTTGGCAGTTTGCTATTTACAAACTAGTCTCCATGACTTCTGCTTGCTTGCATGACTATTGTCATGTGATCTCATGTCATTGTGAGAGGCTTCCCATCATAGGGCTGGTGCATGAGATAGAGTCTTAACAGATCCACAGTTCAGCTTTTTCATTGGCCAAAACTTTGTGTTAAACACAAAACAAGTGTTAAACACAACTCTTGCTGAAAGAATACATTTTTTAAAAAGTTACACTGTCTTGAACCAAAGCACAAATTTCATTTTCTGTGTCTTTTTTTCAAATTCTATGCATTTAGCTAAATAATTGAACTTTTCTAACCTTTGGCATCCTTGTCTTTATTCACAAAGTTGGTATTCATTGTTAAAATGTAGACATGTTCAGATAATGCAGTGAAATAACTCATGTAAACACTTGGCAAAATGTACTGAAAATATTTCTAGAAGCTTATTGTCCTCCTAATTTAAGTGTATTCTTATGTGTACAGAGTTAAAACTGAATACAAATAGTTTTACAATTTTTCAATGGTAGTAAATGTTTAATTTGTGAGTCTTTTTTTTCTTAACTTTACCAATAATACATTTGCAAGTA